GTGCATGTTGGGTCGGCCCGTGGCTCACTCGGCAGAGTGCGGTGCTCATAACACCAAGGCCACGGGTTCGGATCCTATATAGGGATGGCCAGTTTGCTCACTGGCTGAGCGTGGTGCTGACAACACCAAGTCAAGGGTTAAGATCCCCTTACCGGTCATCTTTAAAAAAAAAAAAAAACAAACCATGCATGTCATTTTCACAAGTTTCATTGCTGCCTCTCCATGAACCTTTAGAATATTTTTTTTTTTGAGACCGGCCGCACCGCGCTCAGCCAGTGAGTGCAGCGGCCATCCCTATATAGGATCTGAACCCGCAGCAGGAGCGCTGCTGCGCTCCCAGCGCCGCACTCTCCCGAGTGCGCCACGGGCTCGGCCCTAACCTTTAGATTTTTGTCATATTTTTTGTTGACTGAAATTTAGTTCCAAATGTACTTTGTATGCATACTTGTGATAAAGTATACCAGTATCAAGACTTAAGGGTTTTATTCAGGATCTGTTTGTTTTATCATTCTCTAGAGCAGGATCTAATTTGTGAATGCATATTATAATTTATTTCATAGAGTAGGTACTTAAAATTTATTGAATAAATGAATATTGTAGAGTCACAAAAGTTTGGGACATTGTTGAGCTAATATATGCTGATCCTTTATGAATTTGTCAGATACTAAGCAAATTCTTAGTAGAAGAACTTAAGATTTAATTTTATCTTCAGAAGTGAGATATTAGTTGTAAATTCTGATGCCATTCTTTTTGTCTGAGAACTGTAGTTTCCTGTAATCCTGGAACATCACTTGTTGATGCTTCACATCAGATAATACGAATTCTATATGAACATAATTTTTGGGGCACGTATGGCTAATATCCCTAAATAAGATTGTGTTATTACCTTAAATATTATCTTGTCCCCATACATTTCAGCCAATTTGCCAAAAGTTAAAAACGTTATGTAAAAACTTAGTATTATCAGGGACTCTTTCATTGTACTCTTCAGATTCATAATTCTATGACTTGTCATAGTCAGTACTTATGATCAAGTCTTCCAACCTCCCAATTTCTTACTCTCAGAGTTTTTAACTTTGGTTGAGAGTATGGGTTCAGATTCCAGCTCTGTCACCAGCTGTGGAGGCATTGGTCAAGTTACTTGGTCAAGTCTCAGTTTACTCATTTATACAATAGGGAAAATAATACCTCATAAAGATTTTAGCATTGAATGAGGTAATGTATGTAAAATGTTTAGTGTGCTACCTATGAGTGGTACCTATTAGTATACTCTCTTTGAAAGTTTGCTTGCTTTTAGGGCATGATATTTTCATATTAAAGGTGGGTATATAATTGAAAATGTATAGGAATTGATAACTGCACTTCCAGGTAATATAAATGCTATTGTGCGTCTTGGCACATCAATAGGTAGTTATAGTTCTTTTTCATATTTTAACAGTGATTGTTTAAACAGGATTAACAGCCTTTTCTTGTTCTAAGTTCCACCAATTGGGTTAACTAAGGCCTTTGGGTGTCATTGTCCAAATAAATGCATAGAATGTGGGAATGGAGGAGAATAAGAGAATAAAAGGGAAAAAGGGAAAGGAAGGGATGACTGAGAAAAGGTATAGACTATGCCATGTACCTCCAAAAATTACTTAAAGTGTTTCTACAGGCCTAGGTTGCCTTTCTGTGATAATAACATTTTGTTAGAGTGCTGAAGTAAATTCTTTGTGTGTTTATAAAATATTATTGCATATTTTTTGTTTGCTAACCTAGATTTTAGTGTTGTAATTTAAAACCTGTATTTGAAAATATTTAAGAATACTCTGCATATCTTTAGGTTTCAATAAAAAACGACAAAGTTTCAGTAATTCTGTACTTCTGAAATAGAATTTTGATTTTCTTGTATACAAATTTCAGATATCTTAGGAGTTAAAACATGAAGCACTGTCAATAAAAGAAGTTATATTAGAAAACCAGTTTGTTTTGAGTAGAGGAATATATGCTTGGAAAAGAAGAATCCAGAGTTTTGCTGGGAAATAACTGTTTTTTGTTCCAGAGTTTATTTCTAGTTAACTATATAGAGCCTATACTACAGACCAGTGCTATCCAATAGAATTTTTTGTGTTGGTAGAAATGTTCTGTATCTGCACTGCCCTATATGGTAGCCATTTATTCACATGTGGAATTGAGCACATGAAATATGGATAGTGATTGAAGAACTGAGTTTCAGATTTTGTTCCCATGGCACATTTAGCAATGTCTGAAGTCATATTTGGTTGTCAAAACTGGGGAGGTACTACTTGCAAAAGGCAGAGATGCTGCTAAACTTTCCGTGCTGCACAGGACATCCCCCATCTCACAAAACAAAGAATTATCTTGCCCAAATGTCAGTAGAGCTGAAAGTTTAGAAACCCTGGGCTTGTGGCTACCTTATTGGCAGATATAGCACAGAATATACAGACTTTATACTCATCATTATGTTTTTAAGTTAATTTTGACTAACACTAATGAAGAGATTAAAGGTCTAGTTTAATTTGAGATAATTAACAGTTTTTGCATTTGAAAGTTTGTTAATAAGGTTAGAGCAATGAGGTGAAATTTGTGAGTCCTCTGTTATGTATTATGTCTGCTGACTTATAGGTGGCAAGAGCTTGTTTCTCCTCCCCATCTGCAGCTTAAAACTTACATTGAATATTGTGTGAAATAGTAAACTAGCATCTCTTAATGGTTGTGAAATGCTGAGGTTAAAACTCTCAGATACATACTGAAGTATTTATGATTAAATGATACATTGTTTTGGAGTTGATACTGGTTGCATCTAAGTAATGGGTACATGAAGATTCCCCATACTGTGCTCTTTACTTTTGTTTGTGTTTGAATTTTTCCTTTATAAAAAGCAAAAAAAAAAAAAAAAAAAAAAAAACTTAGACATAGAAATAACTAATAATGATAGGATGTGGAATGTGACCAATGAATTATTTTATCACAGAAATAGTGTTCATTTTGTATGCATTTATTTAATCTCTAGCAATTAATAGTAAGTTGTATTAATTCCCCAAGTTGCATTAATATGTTGTTTAAAAAATAGTGTCACATCATTAAAAAAAAGTTCACTGCATTAACAGTTCTGACATTCTTTTACTGTTACAGGTTGTCTTGGGTCACATAATGCCAGCTGAGCGTAAAAAGCCAGCAAGTATGGAAGAAAAAGACTCTTTACTAAACAACAAGGAAAAAGACTGCAGTGAAAGGCGGCCAGTGAGCAGCAAGGAGAAGCTAAAAGATGATCTCAAGCTCACTGTCAAGAAGGAGGTCAGCAAGGCCCCTGAAGACAAGAAGAAGAGACTGGAAGATGATAAGAAAAAAAAGGAAGACAAGGAGCGCAAGAAAAAAGAAGAAGAAAAGGTGAAGGCAGAGGAAGAATCAAAGAAAAAAGAGGAGGAAGAAAAAAAGAAACATGAAGAAGAAGAGAGAAAAAAGGAAGAACAGGTAAAACGTCAGCAAGAAGAAGAAGCTGCTCAGTTGAAGTAAGAAAAATTATTTTAATTATTGATGTAAAGGAATGGGAAAATTGGAATATTTGGGGAAAAAAAATGATTATTTGAGGAAAAACTTCCTGTGTGCAGCTCCTTGAGAGTTGGGAGTTTCTCTATTTAAATTAAATAATAGTAACAATCTTTAGTAAATAGTTTTTGAGGTCTGGAGTAGTCTAGATTTTTTTTTTTTTTTCTTTTTCGTGACCAGTAAGGGGATAGCAACCCTTGGTGTGGTGTCGCCCACACCATGCTCAGCCAGTGAGCACACTGGCCATTCCTATATAGGATCCGAACCCGCGGCGGGAGTGTCGCTGCGCTCCCAGCACCGCACTCTCCCAAGTGCGCCACGGGCTCGGCCCTATTGTTTTTGTTTTTTAAAAACTTTTTTTTGGTATGATAATATGGTATGATAATACTCCGTCTTTTCAAGTTGAAAAAGTTTTAATTCTGTGGCTGCTATTTGCTGAGTTCTTATTATGTGATTGGCACTATACAAAGTATATTAGCATATATCCTTAAATAGTCCTAATGAAGTAAGTTTTATGAACCTCATTTTACAGATCAATAAAGTGAAGCTTTAAAGAGGTAAGTAACTTTGCCTAAGGTCACAGTAAACAGTGGAGCTGCTAGGATTTGAACTTAGGTTGGCCTGACCTGAAAACCTTTGTCCTTAAGCACGATTCCACATGCCTCTCATTCTTACTTAAATCTATTTTTGAATAGATTTAACCAAGTCTATGCAAGTAGTATAATAAACTGGTAAAAAATGAGGTGATCCTCATAGGAAGAACACCAGGATGTAGCAAAAATGACTGTTGTTGAATGACCTCTTCTCTTCAGATGTGTAATTTAAAAAGCTGTTTGTAAACATGACTTTTCTTTTCTGGTGGCTGGCTGGTAAGGGGATCTGAACCCTTAACCGTGGTGTTACAGCACTGCACTCTAACCAACTGAGCTAACGGGCCAACCCCAAACATGACTTTTCATAGATCTCTATAACAGCTACTTTTCTCACCAAATCTCTTCTTTAGGACTTCTATTTTTAATGAAGAACTGGAGCCTTAGGTCTGAAAGGCTATAATAGTGGCTGGTTTGGGAATATCCAGAACCATGATTCTTGAGAGTTTCTTGATTATTTATTTTACTTTCCTTTTTAAAATTTTTTAATTAAGGGCCGGCCAGTGGCTCACTTGGGAGAGTGTTGTGCTGATAACACCAAAGCCACAGGTTTGGATTCCTGTATAGGGATGGCCGGTTGCTCACCTGGGAGAGCATGGTTCTGACAGCATCAGTCAAGGGTTGAGATCTCTTTACTGGTCATCTTTTAAAAAAAATTTTAAAAATAAAAATTTGTAATTAATATATTCAATTTCATATTAACTTTTGCTCCTTGTCCCATCCCATCAAAAGAGCTTTAAAAACAAACAAAAAGCAAAGAAACCAAAAACCCAACTTTTTATTGGGAAAATTTCATACGTATACAAAAATGGAATGGTATTATGAACCAGATCCCTGCACCCCCCTCCCCCCGCATCTACCCAGTGTCGAGTTACCCACTTTTTCTCCCGGGATATTATAAAGCATCTTATTATTTCACCTGTAAAAACTTCACTTTATATCTTAAAGTGTTTTCAATTGAGTTAATCCTGTGTTTGTGTGTGGTAGGAGATCCAAGACATACTCAAATGTCCACGTTCCCAGTAATGGATGCAAACTCTCTGTTGTAGTGGAAAGTCTGTTGTAATGGAAAATCCTAGAATTATAGTGTAACCCAAAGATGATTATCTTGGAAAGATGAAAATCTACATTTTTTTGGAGATTTATATTTAAGAGTTACATATTCTGGTATCTCAAAAACCTCAAAGTTGTATTGTTTGTCCTCCCCCCTCCTCCAGCCACCCAAATTATTGTACTATATCTGCAATTTAAACTTGTTTCATCTTTTTAGTGGAAAAATGGATATATCTGTTTTAGCTACTTTTTTCAGGATAAACTGAGTTTATAAGCCTTTTTACTAAAGGGTTTTTATCTGATAGTTCTCTTCTAGTTCCTTTCTAAATTTTCTAAATCTCACTTGAATTTTTAAAACTCCAAACCTGTCAATATACTTTATTAAAGGTTTGGTTAATGCTGAGTATGAAACAAAATATCTAACATTTCAAAACATTTTTAATATAGTCTTTTATAATGCTTACTCTTTAAAGTATTCTTTGTGGACAATTTTTTTTTTATCTATTTGCCCAGTGCTTTTATTTGTTTTACGTTTTATATCCTTCCCAGGAATATTTTATATTTTTCGTATGGCACATCATGTATTTTATCCATTTAGCTTGCCAGTTGGCAGAATGATTTTTAATTTTAATCTAATTATTCAAAATCCTCTGCTCTACCACATTTGGTATTACAGTATATTGGGTTCTCATTATCTTAATGTCTTTTAAAGTCTTTTGCATCTTTTGTTTCTCTTGGATTCTGATACTTAGATGATTGTTTTTTCATTGGGTTTTACTTTTATAGGATTTGTCAATGATGCTTCAAAATATATAGAGTATTTTATTTATTTGTTTGTTTGTTTTTTAATTAGAGAGAAGGAAGAATCCCTTCAGCTTCATCAGGAAGCTTGGGAAAGACATCAATTAAGAAAGGAACTTCGTAGCAAAAACCAAAATGCTCCAGACAACCGACCAGAGGAAAATTTCTTTAGCCGCTTAGACTCAAGTTTGAAGAAAAATACTGCTTTTGTCAAGAAATTAAAAACTATTACGGAACAACAGAGAGACTCCTTGTCCCATGATTTTAATGGCCTAAATTTAAGCAAATACATTGCAGAAGCTGTAGCTTCTATTGTGGAAGCGAAACTAAAAATCTCTGATGTAAACTGTGCTGTGCACCTGTGCTCTCTTTTTCACCAGCGGTACGCTGACTTTGCCCCGTCACTTCTTCAGGTCTGGAAAAAACATTTTGAAGCAAGGAAAGAGGAGAAAACGCCTAACATTACCAAGTTAAGAACTGATTTGCGTTTCATCGCAGAATTGACAATAGTTGGGATTTTCACTGATAAGGAAGGTCTTTCCTTAATCTATGAACAGCTAAAAAATATTATTAATGCTGATCGAGAATCCCACACTCATGTTTCTGTGGTGATTAGTTTCTGTCGACATTGTGGAGATGATATTGCTGGACTTGTACCGAGGAAAGTAAAGAGTGCAGCAGAGAAGTTTAATTTGAGTTTTCCTCCTAGTGAGATAATTAGTCCAGAGAAACAACAGCCTTTCCAGAATCTTTTAAAAGAGTACTTTACGTCTTTGACCAAACACCTGAAAAGGGACCACAGGGAGCTCCAGAATACTGAGAGACAAAACAGGTGATTTTCAAATGTTTCTCAGAATTGAGAATTTATTTTGGAGCTCATACTTAAAAATGTTTAAAGTCTTCATGCCACTGAAAGAACTTATGGAAAAGGGCTCCTTACAGGTGATTTCTTAACATTCCAGGAAAATTTCAAAGTGTAACAATCTGAGTACTCATGTTTAAATGTGAGTCTACAATAGGTGTTGTTTCTGATTTTAAAAGAAATCTCTCAAGCAGATGGTGATTTTTGCTTTGTGGGTATGTTTTCTTCCTGTGATTTAAAAAACTCCTTAATATTTAGGGGTAAATTTTCTTTTTCTGTCACTTTAACTTACCTGCTACTATTTTTCTGTATGTTTTTGATGTTTCCTCTCTCCAGCAGGTTTTCTTTCATTGTTTTGTATTTTAAGTTATTAATGTCACTGTTGCTACTTGCTCTTTTTTAGGAAAATAAATCATTCATTATTAGTGGTATTTCAGATCAGAATTTTGGGAAATAGTGCACAAAATTAGCTGTGAAAAAATTTTAATGCAACTGTAAAGTGCATTTATAGAGTCTTCTTCCTGGAGGCATCCATTTAAAATTGTAAAGGAATAATGTACTGTGCCTGTGGTAGTGGTGAAAAGACCTGATTTAGGGGCCAACTTTGATTGTTCCACAATATTGTAGACTAATGTGTAGTATCTTTACCTAGCTGGCATCAACAAGCAGAAGTTGATGTAGTTTGTGGGTATTAGGTCAACTTTTATGGAGGATGGATTTGGAGGAGGGCTGAGAGATTGCAAAAAGAAGGTAACAGCAGTAGCATTTGGCTGAGTACTTACACCTATTTAAATTGTGTGGTTGAGAATCTGAAATTGCTATTAATCTGAAATTAGCTGACCAGCTGCCCCCCAAAAGAAATTAGTGTGGGGAGCACTCTATTCTATTCTCATAAGTCTGCAATGGGAGAGAACTAGTTTAAGTAGTTAGCACTGGGAGATGGTTGTCTTAACCAGAAGAGAAGACAGTAATAGTGTATGCAAGTAGTACAGTTAGGACAGGTTCGGGGTGGAGACTATGTAGTTAAACCTTGGTTGCTAAAAGTCACTCAGAAGTGAGGATTTAAGATGGCAGTGGTGTTACTAATGATTCTTAAAAGGAAAAAGGGTTGACATGTTTTGTACTTTTGAATAAGAGGACTGATTCAAACTTGAAGACACAACCTCAGAATGCACTTACATCGTCAATAATGGGTTAAAAAGGGATATGAGAGTCTTCTCACATATTTAATTCTTTTTAATCATTATTTAGATAGTGCTTTATCATTTTCATAGTCCTTTTCCCATACATTCTGCCTAATACATCACAACTTATTTTGTAAGTATGCTAATTATTTATTAGTTTTTATGAGCTACTTTAAGAGTTTTAGTATGTGTGAATTTGCTTTAGATTGGCCTCACAGGCTCTTAGAGAGTACAGATTCTACAATGATCACCTTTACAATGCATGAGTCCATTTTACAGATTATCTAACAGATAAGATTATTCTTCCTCTGAATAACTCCCGAGGGAGTTTAGTACTCTGAGGCATTCCAATGTTGGACACAATCTATTTGCTAGGAATTCTTTGTTATATGAAGCTGAAATTTAACTCCCCATAAAGTTGTTCTCTTTGATGTAGTTCTTATTTCTGGTATGGATGTAATAAAGCTACTCAAAGTGGGGGTCTGTGGCCTGTGTTCCTGTTCACAATGAATTCAATACAGAAACAGAGTAAACATTTAGACATTTTTATAGCAATTTTCCATTGTCATGATATTCTTACTGTATTTTATAAAAGTGTCTGCAATGATTGGGGAAAAAAATTGGTCCTTTACTATTGATACTTTAAGAAGCATTGGCACAGGACACGTATCCTCTTTAATTCCTATGACAGTATCCTTTCCTCTTCTCCAGGCTGAATACCTCTGGTTCTTTCCATTTGCTCCTTGATTTCCAGATACTTCGCTATCCTTAGGACATTTGTTTTGGATATGTTCTTTTCTATCTGTGATTTAAAATTGCTTTAGCTTTTATAGCTGCCATGTCTTTCTTTTGACTTTTTGTTAGGCTTATTTACACTAAAGCCTGATTTCTCAAATGAACTGCTGCCAAGCCAGTTCTTCCTCCTCTTGAACTAGTAAAATGATTTTCTAAGCCTAAATATGTACTTGCTTATTTCTATTAAACTTTGTTTAGATGCTTTGGCATATTATTTTAGCCTAATGATAATTTTAAACATTGATTATATGTGTATTATTAATGGTACTTATCTGTTGGTCATTCAGCTTTGATAAGCAGATCTTTTGTTCTTTTATTATTCAAGTCATTGATAAAAGCTTTGACCTGGATGTAGTGTTAAGAGCACAGCCTTTGTGGTCTTTCCTTAGAAACTTATCCATTTTGATACAGAACTATTAGTATATGGTTATTAGAGAATGTTACTTACCCAATGTAAATTGATCTTAGCAATTGATCTTAACATTCACGGGCCGGGCCTAGAAGTGGTCTGGGGAGTTAATATTTCCACATTTAAAAATATTATCTATGGGGGCCGGCCTGTGCCTCACTCAGGAGAGTACGATGCTGATAACACCAAGGCCACGGGTTCGGATCCCATATAGGGATGGCCGTTTTGCCCACTGGCTGAGCATGGTGCTGACAACACCAAGTCAAGGGTTAAGATCCCCTTACCAGTCATCTTTTAAAAAAAAAAAAAAAGATCAAGGAATTGTTGTGATTGTTGTGTCTTCTCCCTCCGCATATATTTGTATATTTACTTATTTATTTTTAATTAGCTCCCACAAATAATTGAGAACATGTGGTATTTCTCTTTGTGTGCCTGGCTTATTTCACTTAATATCATTTTCTCTAAGTCTATCCATGTTGCTGTGACTGGTAGTATTTTATTTTATTTTTTTTTTTACTAATATAGCTGAGTAGTATTCCATTGTGTAGATATGCCACATTTTCCTTATCCACTCATCTGATGATGGGCCTTTAGGCTGGTTCCAACTCTTGGCTATTGTAAATAGCACTGCAGTAAACATGGGAGTACAGGTATCTCTTCGACATGATGATTTTCATTACTCCGGGGATATACCCAGTAGTGGAATAGCTATCTGTAATTGTTTGAGGAACGTCCATACCATTTTCCATAAAGGCTGCACCATTTTGTTACTGGACATAACTTAATGTTAACTATGTAACAGAATTTTTTTCTTTCAGTATAGTGAAATCATGAATTCAGATAGTCAGAATTCTTGTTTGAATAATTCTGAAGTATCTTAATCTCATTTTTTCTCCCTAATTGATGGAAGTGGTGGCAAGTTTCTCTGCAACAGCTGTGAGTTAGTATCTTCATGATTGCATGCTCAATCCATCAGCAGTAAGTGCTTTGGTTTAAAGTTTAGTAAACAAATGTAAGTAGAATGCAGATGTTTTTCTCTCCCATTGTTAATAAAAGCAGAGAGTTTTCTTTTATTAATGCAAATTCATGAGGCATCAATTGACCTATGTTGAAACTTAGAAACACGCTAGCCTAAAATTAAATAGTTTTGTTTTTACTTTGACTTTCCTTCCAGGTGAGTTGTACCTTGCCTTACAAAGGTAGGTTATTTGATCAATTGGTAGTATTTAAGCACTACTAACATCTTTCTTCACTGTAGGTTAGATTTAAGGAGGTGCTAACAATGTTACAAGAGCTCTAAAATTGCTGTGGCCTCCTAAATATTCTCTAATTCTGTTTAAATAACTTTGACATAGTAGTTTATCAGAGCAACAAAGTAAATGATATACAAAATAAAAGAAATAGCAAAAAAGTCAATAACAAAAATGGAAAAGAAGAAAAACAAAAACATATTTTAGTACTAGAATTTTTCGGGCTGGCCCATAGCTCACTTGGGAGAGTGTGGTGCTGATAACAAGGCCACGGGTTCGGATCCCTATATAGGGATGGCTAATTAGCTCACTTGGGAGAGCGTGGTGCTGACACCACCAAGTCAAGGGTTAAGATCCCCTTACCAGTCATCTTTATTAAAAAAAAATTTTTTTTTCAAGGCATTAATGAATTTTCTTATTTTTCTTCTTTTCTCTTTTTTGGTGGCTGGTTGGTACAGGAATCCTAGTGTTGTCAGCACCACATTCTAAACCAACTGTGCTTACTGGCCAGCCTGGAATTTTCTTACTTATGAGATATATGCTTGATTCAAGAATGGACTATTTGATGTTTCCTGTTAGTTTTATAATATTAAATTAGTAATTCAAAAACACTTCACAAACTGAGGATTAATCTACCTTAGGGATGTTTCCGGGCAGTGATGACTCATTTATGTTGAGAGAAGGTCCATTTTTTTTGTATTTTATTATAATGAGTAAGACTTGTTTTCATTGCTTACTTTTCACATCAGTAAAAGAGTACCAGTACTTCTGTATTGAACAGTGATATTATGAGAGAGAATGAACTAGTTTATAAAATATGTAACAGTGAAACTGATTTGGTTAACTTCAGTTATGACAGGGATTGGCAAACTATGGCCTGAGAGTCAGATTAGGCCCATGACTAGTTTTTGTGCAGCCTGAGAGCTAAGAATTTACCTTTTTAAATGGTTAAAAAAAAGAAAAAATCAAAAGTAGGATAATATTTTGCAAAACATGATAATTATATGAAGTTCAAATTTCAGTGTCTATAAATAAAGTTTTATTGTAACATAATCACATTCATCTGTTTATTTATTATCTATGGCTGCTTTTGTCCATATTAGCAGGGTTGAGTAGTTTTGACACAGACCATGGTCTACAGTGTCTAAAATATTTACTCTCTGGCCCTTTTATAGAAAATGTTTGCTGATCTCTGATTTATGACCTTCTCAAAAGAATGGTTTCAGTTCAACTTTATGTAATAGATGTATTTCTAAAAGATGGTAATTAAAATGGTGTGTGAGGAATCATATCTTCAGCTTGGTTTTATTTATATTTTCAGTGATATACAAGTGTACTTCAAAAAGTTCATGGAAAAGGGCTGGCCCGGTGGCGCACTGGAGAGTGCACCGCTTGGGAGCGCAGCGGCGCTCCTGCCGAGGGTTCGGATCCCATGTGGTGACTGGTTCCTGCTCACTGGCTGAGCGTGGCGCGGGCGCAACACTGAGGGTTGCGATCCCGTTGCAGGTCCCCGGTATGGGCGTGACACCGAGGGTTGCGATCCCGTTACCGGTCAGTATAAAAAGAAAAAAAGGAAAAAAAAAAAAGTTCATGGAAAAATATAATTAAAACATAATACAAATCTTCCCACAAACTTTTTGAAGTACCCTCATAGTCCCATGGTGGGAGATTTTTTTTTTTTAATAACACTGATATAATGTCATATGTACAATGTGATGTTTGATTCTGTCACACTTTCTAAAAAAGTCTAATCAAACCGACAGTCTTTTCCTATGGGTTTGTAAAGTTATACCCAACCTGACATGTATAGTACAAACATTAAAAATTGTTTCATTTCAATTTCATTAGAATTTCTAAATGATTCTACGGCTTTTGAATGTTCAGGTACCTATGATGAGTTTTTTCTCTGCTTTAAGTCTCTAGATAGTCTTACTACATGCTGTGGATTTAATCAGATGTTCAGTAAATGTATATTAAGTAAATGGTCAAGGAAAGCATATATTGACTATATGAGTACTTCTGTTTCATCGGTATCCTGTACTGCTTACCAGTACTTGGTGTAAGATATGGTTAGACAACAAGCCAACCAAAATATAAACTTTTTTTCTAAGGATTGACTTATTTATTTATTTATTTTTTAAAGATGACCGGTGAGGGGATCTTAACCCTTGACTTGGTGTTGTCAGCACCACGCTCTCCCAAGTGAGATAACCGGCCATCCCTATATAGAGATCTGACCCCAGGGCCTTGGTGTTATCAGCAACGCCCTCTCCCAAGGGAGGGTGAGCCACTGGCCCGGCCCTGTAAGGATTGTTCTAACTGAATAGTAACCTAAGCACATTTTCATTAAGTAGTTACGTAAATTAGTGCTGCTAAAGAATTTGATTACGTACTTGAGATTACAGGGAGGGCGAGGAATATCTTTGAAGCTTTAAAGTTTTAGTTTGGTTCCAGTAGGACTGGAGAGGAACTGGAATGCAGGCACAGGGAACCATCGTAGAATTAAATCACTTTTAGTTGACTCAAAGCAAAGTCCCAGGGAAATATTTGAAAGTGAGGTTGATACTAGGAAAGGACAGTTAATTTTCTGTTCTGATAAAATAGTCATCACCTTCCTACTGCTTATATACAGGAAATCCTTAGTGACTATTGTTGTATCCTAATGTACTGGATGTTTCTTCTTCAGATGATCAGAATGTCAGAACTTGTAAGAGAAATAAAATTCCAGGTTATGTTTTTCTGAGATATTTTCCAATTTCTTTTCAGGTACTGAAATAATGTTACATTTTAATTGTCATTAGAAGTTTTTAAATCTCTTAGAACCATTATTATCCCTTTTAACATAATTTGCTTTAGAATGAACTCATCACTTGTTGTGTTAACATTTTCCCTAATAATACTTTGTAGACATTTTAAATAGCCTACTTTTGAACATTATTTATTTGAATAATTTATTTTAGTGCCTTTTTTAAACTTCCAAAATGACTTGTATTAGAATTTCTGATTAATGGGCCGAGCCCGTGGCGCACTCGGGAGAGTGCGGCACTGGGAGCGCAGGAGCCTCCCGCCGCGGGTTCGGATCCTATATAGGGATGGCTGGTGCACTCACAGTGCTCACTGGCTGAGCACGCTGCGGCCGGTCTCAAAAAGGACAAAAAAAAAAAAAGAAAGAATTTCTGATGAAAAGTTCTAACAAGCTCATTCAAAGTAATGTTGGTTTTTTTGGTGTGTGTGTGTGAATATTTTACAATACTTTGGATTTTTGTTTTAATTTTTAAAATTTATTCATAAAACTTACTGAAAGAAACTTGCTTGTAATATCAGTCTGAAATAAATGTTGGAAGAGGTAAAATACTGCTCTCTAATGACAATGTTTTTAGAGAAACACTTTTTTTTAGCCAGGATTATTACGGTTAAACTGTTTTGACATTTTACTAATTTGTTGGTTGAATGATGTTGTCTAATGTGTATTTAAATCATAAGAAAATGAGTGAAAATTTCTCATTTTAGACCCTAATAGACAAGATTTGGGAAAAAAAAAAAAAAGGATTGGATTTAGTGAACCTATGCATTGATGTGCTTGCAGTGGGAACTGATATTCCTAAAATAGGAAATATTATTTGGGTTGTTACAGCATTTAATCAAAAGTTTATATGAGTGGGAGTAGGGAAATTGTTCCAAATAAGATGGGAACAGTAAGTATAGGCATGAGTTGTCTACTTTATTTTCTGTAACTTTTAAGAAGATAATATCACACAAAAAACATTTACTTCACTGTTCATAAGAAAACTCAAATGACAAGGAATAACAAAACTTCTAATTACTTTTGAAAATTATTTAATTTGCAATTTATAATTGACTTTTTGAAACCAAATTGACCTTTTAGTTAACTGTATTTGCATTTTGGTTTATAAATTTCACATGTTATACCACCACATAAATATTTAATACAGAAAAAATTGGATCCAGATATACAAGTACCAACTATTTGTACTAATATAAGTAGGACTTTTATTTGACTATACATTTTGGTATTTTCCAGTAGTTTTGAATCTGTATTTATGGGTGATTTATTGGTATACAGTTGCAAAGTGGAAGAATAGTTGTTCATGGCCTGGCCTTGAGTAAGTGGGTTGCTCAGTTAATATTTGTTAAATGAATAAATAATTAGTACTTGCATGGTAAATTGAGAATTGGCTATATGGAACGTGTGGGCTTTATAAAAAAGATAATCTTAAGTCACTGTGGAAGTTTGAGGATAACTGATTCTATTTTTTGTTTTTGAACATGTTCAAAACCTGTCATTTTTGAAAACTGACTTGTGTAGTTGTATTAAATATTTTGATATTTCTGCAGGCATACTTTATATTCTTTGAGGAACAGTGTTAAAATTTAATTTCTTAGGTGAATCTGCTTATATGTTTTAATTTTGAGATATATCTTGAAAATGTTAGGTAATAAAAATAAATTGATAAGGAAGCTGTGCCAAATTTGTGTGATAAAATCACATTTTATGGATCATTTCTCATGTAACAATGCATGAGCACATCTGTTTTGATAAGATTATCAGATTATTTCGTCATTTGTTTATAGGCGTATTCTACATTCTAAAGGGGAGCTAAGTGAAGATAGACATAAACAGTATGAGGAATTTGCCATGTCTTATCAGAAGCTGCTGGCAAATTCTCAGTCCTTAGCAGACCTTTTGGATGAAAATATGCCAGATCTTCCTCAAGACAAACCAACACCAGAAGGTAAGGTATCTTTAAAAACAAACATTGTGATTTTTTATAAGCACTATCAGTTACCTTTGCGCTTGTCAGATGTGTTTTATTAAAAATGTAAGTTTAAAAATGGCTTCAAAAGTTTTTAAATGAAGAAATGATGTTAAGACCAAACAGTAACTTTGAAAACCTACTTAAAATACATCCCTAAATGAAAAAGACTCTATGTAGAGACTAATAATTAGCTCATATGATATTACGATGAATTCCAGGTTCTTGTGTAATATATATCCCTGGATTATATCCAGTAGGAACCGTTATGAACCATACTTGTAAGATAGGTAATGAGAAGGTGGATTGGACCTTTGGGAGCCTAATATTTCTCTATTTACCATAATTTTTAATCTATATTGAGTGATGTATTATCTTAATTTGTTATTTAGAAATAAAGCTTACTTGCAGTTTTTTTTTTTTTCCTTTAAATTTTTATTTTGTCAATATACAATGTGGTTGATTATTATGGCCCATCACCGAAATTACTTGCAGTTTTGTGAGATGAATTGTTTATCATTTTGTGAGATGAGTTATTTTCCGTATTATTTCAAAAGTATTTTAACCTTCCTTTTTGATGGTCTTTTAGTTGATAGGGCTCCTAATATATTACTCTTATCTCGTCACACCAACTACTTGATAAAATAATTACATTTACGTAGATACGTAGATAAGTGCTAACAAATCGTTAATCTTAAAAATATCAAGGATGAAGTATTTGTAAAGTATACTTTTATAATATAAAACTGTATTTTGTATTTTACATCCTCAATAAGAAATTATACACTGTGGATGCATTCATTTTATTATATTTATATATAATCGTGTATGTAATTTCTACTAATTTTTTTACCTCAAAAACCAATGAGTCAAAATTTTTAATTTTTTAGGAGAAATTTCACCTTAGATTTTGTGATTTGGTTGAATCTGGCTTATTTCTCAGAACTTTTTCAGTTTATTTATTATAATATTTTAGAACCAAAATCTTTTCATAATATTTAGTATTCTTTGGTATTGATTTTTTTTGTTTTATTTCTTTACCATTTTTTCTCCTAAATAAGTCATACTGAAATTTAAACTAGGTTTTCTTTTGATGTTGAATGACTTTAAAAGTATTTTTAGGCATTTTCCAGAGATAATAGACCTTGGCAAAATTCTGTCATCTTTTTTTTTTTTTTGATGGGTGGTCAGTATGCTGATCCACACCCTTAACCTTCGTGTTACCAACACCACATTCTACCAGTCGAGCCACCTGGCCAGCCCTCTGTCATCATTTTTTAAAGATATTTTCATCAGGTATAGACTTTTAGGGTGAGAGGTTTTTTATTTTCAGTAATTTAAAGATGTTGCTCCACTGTCTTCTAGCTTGCATTGTTTCTGAGAAAGCTGCTATCATTCTTATCTATGTCATTATTTATATTATATGCATTTTTTCCTCTAGTTGCTTTAAAAATTTTTCATTGTCACTGATTTCAAGCACCTTAATTATGGTGTAGCTTAGTGTGATTTTTTTTTGTTTGTTTCTTGTGGTTGGGCTCATTGGATTTCTTGTATTTGTGGATTTATAGTTTTCTTCAAGTTTGGAAGAATCTTGACCTTTATTTCTTCAAATGTGTTTTATGTTTCCCCCCTTGTCTCCTCTCTTTTAAATTAAGACTACAAATGGTCCCTGACTTTTGATTTTTCAGCTTTATGATAGTGGGAAAGCAATATGCATCCAGTAGAAACTATATTCAAATTTTGGATTTTGATCTTTTCCCAGGCTATTGCAGTTCAGTACTCTACTATGATGCAGGGCAGTGACAGTGAACTATTCTGGTTTTCACTTTCAGTACAGTATTTAATAAATTACATGAACTATTCAACACTTTATTATAAAATTGGCTATGTGTTAGATGGTTTTGCCCAACTGTAGGCTCATGTTAATATCCTGAGCATGTTTAAGATAGGCTAGGCTAAGCTATGATGTTTAGTAGGTTAGGTGTATTAAATGTATTTTTGACTTAATAGTATTTTCAATTTATGAATTTATCAGGATGTAATCTCATGGTAAGTCAAGGAGCATGTGTATATTAGGCTGTTTGAAGTTGTCCCACAGCTTACTGATGCTCTGTCCATTTTATTCTTCAGTATTTTTTTCTGTTTCATATTGGATAGTTTCTGTTGCTATGTCTTCAAGTTCACTAATCTTTTCTTTTGCAGTATCTAATATACTGTTAATCCCATATTGAGATGTAGTTTTCATCTCTAGAAGCTGGACTTATTTTTCTTGTCTCTAACTTTTCAGTCTATATTCTAGCTTGTTGAACATGTGAAATACAGTTACAATAATTGTTTTAATGTACTTGTCTACTAATTTTATCATCTGTTTCATTTCTGGATTTGTTTTAATTGATTGTGATTGATCTATTGATTGATTGATCTTTTTTGCATGTCTGGTAACTTTTCTACTTCTTTGCATGCCTGGTTAAGTTTTATTGGATGGAGGCTGGATATTTTTGTATTTTTATAAATATCATTGAGCTTTGTTCCGGGGTGCATTAAAGTTACTTGGAAAGAGTTATATCCTCAAAAGACTGATTTGTTAAGAGGTATCAGAGCAGCCTTTAGTGTAGGGCTTATTTTTCCTAATACTGAAGCAATACCCTTCTGGACTCAGCCTGACTTCCCATGAATTAGAGGATTCTTCCAGTCTGCATCATGGGCATCATGGGCATCCAGACTGTTCCTGGCACAATGTGAACTCCTGTGTGAGTACTGATCCTATTGAGTGGTTATTTTTTGAGTCTCACTTAGTTTCTTCACACAAGAGCTGATCTGTACTCAGGTGAACACCTAATTTCCTTGCACCTAGGGGCTGATCAGTACTCAGGTGAATATTCAAGGAGGATCCTCTGCAGATCTTTGAGACCCATCTCTGTGCTGCTTTCTCCTCTCTGGTACTCTGTCCTAGGAACTCTAGCTGCCTTGGCTGGAGTCTTACCAGACTCAGCTCTGTTGTCCTCAATTCAAGGGAGACTGCTATACTCTGCCTAGCTTCTCCCTTACTTGGTCACCGCCTGGAAAATCTAGGCAGTAAGCTAGGGCAATTGTACACTGTTTTTTGTTTGCTCTCTCTTAAGGATTGTTTTCTTGTGCTGCCTATTGTCCAGTGTTTGAAAACCATTGTTATATATTGCTTGCTTGGATTTTTAGTTATTTTGAGTCACTAGTACTTCATCTTGGCCTGAAGAGGCCCAGAAATGAGATCACATTACATTTGTTATTCTGCAGCTACTTTTTTCAGTTAATCTTGTATCTTAGCTGTCTTTTCATATCACTACATATAGAGCCATCTAATTCTTTTTAATTCCTGAATAGTAATGTCCTATTGTATAATTGTGCTATCATTTACTTGTCCTCCATTGATTGACATTTAAGTTATTTCTAGTTTTTAGCTATTATAGTCAATGCTGTAACAAAATCTCCTAACCTGTTTCTATCTGTATGCATGCTAGTATTTCCCAGGTAAATTTCCAAGAAGTAGAATTCCAGGGTGTGTTAGTCCGTTTCTGTTGCTTATAACAAAATACCTAGAACTGGATAATTTATAAGAAAATGAAATTTATTGCTTACAGTCTTGGAGGCTGGGAAGTCCAAAGTTCAGAGAACACATCTGGTGAGAGGCTTATTCTTGGTGGTAAGTCTGCAGTGATGCAGGGTATCACCTGGTGAATATGGCAGGAGCAGAGAGAGAGAGCTTCTCACATGCTCTCCACGATCGCCGTTGAACCATCAACTTATTAATCCATTTACTAGGACATTGTCCTCACAGTCTAATAACTTCTTCAGGGCCCCACCTTTCAATTACCATAAAAGGATTTCCCACCTTCTTAACATTGTCACAGTGGGGGTTAAGTTTCTGATACTTGGACTTTGGGGGACACAGTTCAATCCACAGTACAGGGTTAAAAGGGTGTATGCATTCCTTGAACTTTCAAAAGGAGGGAACAGAACTTAGGCCACCAGAGGAGAGAAAGGGGGAGGGAAGAGACGGGGTTAGGGAAAAAAAGTAGGAAAGGAAAAAAAATGGTATATGCATTTTAAGTTTCAATATATAATGCCATATTTTCTTCCCAAGAAATTTATATACCATTAAGTTTATGAGAATGACTGTTTTCTTACACCCTTACCATATTGCAGTTCTTTATTTTTTAATTCTAAGTGAAATTTAGCATCTTTTTTTATGTTTATTGGCTATTTTGTAAATGTATTCTTTTCCCTGTGGAATTCCTGTTTGAATCCTTTAACCCCCTTTTTCCCCCCAAGTATCTCTCTTCCCCCCTCCCCCTTTTTTTCTTTTTTTAGCAGCTAGCTCCCCCCTTTTTTCTTTTTTTGGCAGCTAGCCAATATGGGTATGTGAACTGTTGACACTGGTGTTGTAATACTGTGTTCTAACCAACTGAAGTTACGGACCAGCCCTCAAGTATGTCTTTTTAAAATCAATTTATAAAAGCACTTTGCATATTAAGGAAATTATTATTTTTTATTTTCATTGAAAATATTTTCCCCCAATATTTCATTGCTTTTCAACTTCATGGTGGTTTTTGCCTCCCAAAAGTTGAATTTCTTTTTCATGATTTACTACAAATACATTATTTTTTAGATACACAGGGTTTTTGTGCATAATACAGGATAAAAAGTGAAAGTGCTGTGTTGGATCCATTCCATTGTCCAAAGTAACCATTAACAGCTTGATAGGAATCTGTCCAGACTTTTTTTTTTTAATACGAAATATGTATAATCAGATATCTGTATATATAGCTTTATTGTTAATTTAGATAAGATATTATTTTGCATGACTTCTGCCATATTAGATTGTACTCTAGTAAGATAGAGAATGCTTAATTCTCTGTCTTGTACACATTTTTTTTTTCCTTTTTGTCTTTTTTTGTGACCGGCAACGGATCGCAACCCTCAGTG